GTGTGTGTGTGTGTGTGTGTGTGTGTGTGTGTGTGTGTGTGTTTAGAACCAGTGTCAATGCACTCAGTATGTGGTGCTTTTTGTTCGATACAAAAGTCCTGCCTTTGTCCCGACTGTGACACCTAAATTTAACTAACAAATCTAAAAACTTTGGAATATGATGTGACTAAATAAGTACCTAAATGATAATGCTATGCTAATGCTACTAATTGTGGTAACCTGAAAAACAATGCTACGATCAATAATCACAATGATTATTCCAACTCYTGAATCTCTGCAGGTCTCTGACCGAGATGCTTTTATAGTCSAACACTGGTCTGAAAATTTATATATCTGTTGCTTCTTCACCTCTGTCAGATAGCGTCTTCATTAACATGTTTTCTCTGTTTGGAAATAAAAGAACAATTTATTGCCTTGTGTCATCCTTCAAATAAAAAAAAAGCAAAGAAAACATTTTTATACTTCAGAGATTTGGCATAATACACCCGGTTTTGCCTGTTTTGTAACATACTGTAACTGGCATATTATTTTCTGAACTTGGTTCAGTCAAGTGGAACAGGTAGTGAAGGAAACTCCTTGGGATTTGTTGTTGAAACAGTATTGTTTGAACTTCATCTCTCTGATTGTGACTCATAATAATCTAAAGAAACATCAGATTCTTCTCCACAGTCTGTCGGCCATTGCAACATCGCTCAGCTGACATGCAGACATTCCCCTTTGACATCACTTCCTGTTACTCCACATGCAAATACCTCAACTGTTCATCTCAGCAGCATGGGATATTTTTTCTTTCTTTCTTTCTTTTTGTTTACTTATTTGATATATATATATATAAACTATTTGTCATCTTGCCAAAAATGCATTATTACAAAACATTGTCATAGGCATTTAAAAGAATAATGTTATTATGGTTTTAGTTTTGTGACAAAGTCTTCCACATTCCATTATTGATTTTTTTGTCCTAATCCTGAGGGCAGACACCCCACCCCCACCCTCCTGAGAGCTATTGAATCGCTCACTTTAYATTTCTGAAAGAAATGTTTATAATTCATCAGGGGGAAAGTTACAGGAGACTTGAAGTGACGTGTACACAAAAGGTACTTAAGATGAATATTTTAAGAAGGGGTATAGAGACTTGTGACTTTGATTATGCATAATTCAGTGAGAGACTCCACGTGGCCTACAGTGGACATTTACAGAGAACACTGAAGGAAAAAGACTTCTTTTAAACAGCAACTAAATGGATGAAATGAAGTTTGATACTTAATCAAGATTAGATTTGTGTAAAAAAATATGTATAAACCACAACATGGAATCAATCTAGTTTAAAGTGTTTTTTGAATTTTGAACTAGTCTGTAATTCAGGGATTAGTTTTTTTTACTGTTATAAAAACTTCTAAAACAATCTGTGCGATTAAAAAGATGATTACGTGGATGTTATTAAGAGAACATGATACTATTTGTAGTATTTAGTGGAATAAGATATGAAGAATACCTGGTGTTGTTTTGGTTTTATTTATTTTTTTCTAAATTTGAAGATTATTCAACCTTGGGCTTGTTTGTTAAAGTTATTTTTTGAAAATAAGGACTGTAAAAATATGATAGGATTTATTTTTCTTCACTCTGCACCCTTTTCATTCAGGGYATGATTGACTTTTTTATTTTATCATATGTAGTTTATTTTGTTCTTATAAATGAAATAAATGACAAAATAAAAAATGGTTGCCACAGCCAATCAACATTGTGTCAACACACAAAAAAAATGCTTGCAACTCTCAAAACAGTTCTGCAACGTTGTTTGACAAAAGTGGCAGCAACACTGCTGTTTCTGTATGCATTCCTTCACAGAATGCTGGGCCTTTAATTATGACAGCATTTGGTTCATTTATTCTTTGTTGGATTGATTTTGGACACGTCTGGTGTCTGGCTTTGTGACCAATCTGTGGAAGGAAGGTTGGCACTGATGTCAGCCATCAGTGACATTAACTGCAAGTCACCTGAAGAACTAAGGCAATGTTCGGAAAAATCTAAAGCTGCTGATTTGAATAAGTAAACAGCCGCGACACAAACCAAATCACAAACAGCGGGTAAAATAAGTATTGAACACGTCAACATTTTTCTCAGTAAATATATTACTAGAGG